TTACGATTTATCTTTAGTAAAGCATGCTGTAAGCGCCCGTGTCCGGCCCCACCACGCCATTCTGTTAAATGATGATGTCGGGAGTTTTCCACTGAGGCCAAAGAAATTAGATGTAGATCCTCAAAAAAAAAAAGCACTAAGATATAATGTTGTAATAGCCCAATGTGTGACTTTGCCTCACGGGACTACTTATACGCCAGTGTGAGCGGTTTTATCCGGCAGGGAAAGTCCTGTAAGCGTTTAGCCGCTCTCTACCCCCCCTCATGCGCTCCGCTTTGGTAGGCCGCAGGCAAGCAAGCTTCTAACTCTGTCTTTCTTCGCGTTTTGGCGATCGGAACGGAGATAGAAACGGGGGGATGGTTTCTGCTGACGCTGCTGCCGTGGAGGTGGTGGTGGGGCGGTGCGGGCGGTGTGGAGTGCTGGGCCGAGCGGATAGCTTCTTCGTCGCCCCGCCTTCAGAGCAGAAAGATTGCCGTATCCACAGACGCGTGTAAGAGTGCCAGGAAAAGCGAGGGCGAGTTTTCCCACTAGGCCTTTCTGCACTTTTCCATTTAGCCTTTATTGCCATAATGAGCGGGGGTCGTACAGATGCCCTCCTTTAGTAGCAGTCTGTGCATTTTCTTTCTTGTCGCCTCTGCCTTTGGAGGCTGTCATCCCGAAATCCGTTTTGTCACTAATTCGATAAAAAAAATTATCAACAACAAATATTTAAAGTTATTAATGTTCTACTCAATCATACTTTATTTCAAATCCGGTCTCCGATTCATTCTGACCTTTCCTTCCTTACCCATTGGAAGATACAGATCAGGATTTAGTTGTCAACGAAACGGTTTTCCGGATGTAGGTTTTCTTTTGGGCGGGTTGTGGTTTTGTGGTTACCTGGCGCGGGCCGAGGCCTGCCACAACCTAGTTACCTCTGATGACCGCCAAGTCGGTTGTCTTGTCTTGTCAACTCGCTAGACCCACACGCCGGTCGGTGCCACTAAGTCTGCTCCTTCTTTGTGTTTAGAGAACAATATCCATTTACGGCGTGTGCGATACTTGTCGAATACTCAATGCCATATTTTTGGCGATATTATTGTAGGTAATGTCTCCTCCCTTCTGTGTGTGTGTCACGGTGCTATGTCTTGTAGAAAGTTAGTGTGAATTTGTATTATTTTTAGAAATGTCGGTGCATGTCGTGTATGTGCGTGCGTGTGAGTGAGCGTGTGTTTTGTGTAAAAGTAGATGATGCGTGTGTGAGAGTGATTCTTTTCTTCGGGTTGGACGACTGTATGAAAAAAAAAGCTAAAATTGTCGATAAGTATTTGAACGAAGCGATCTGTAGACGACAGCGCGCCCAACGTCGGTCTTAGTAAGTACTTATGTTAAACTAGTAACCTCGCAGAACGGTCTACTTAGAAGTCTCGTTCAGTACAAAGCTCATGGCGACCATAAAATGGCTTGAAAGATTGATTACACTCTGAGAAGGATGTCAGACTCTCTGTACTTTCCGCATTTTATATTTAAAATTGAGCTCATTAGATTGAAAGTAAGACAGAAACGTGGCGGAACGCGTTCATCGTATAGAAAGCTCCTTTGTTTGTTCAATCAGTAAAAAGACATTTTAAATAATTTTTAAAAATTTTGTTTTAACAGGATGTATATTTTTGCTCTTTTAAAAGACACGTTGAATTACCAATTTTCAAAATCGCGGTCCTGTCTGGTTAAGAATAACATGTTTTAAATGTAACCCGTGTATGAATACTGTACACCAGGTATAGTTGTATTATTTATTTTGTAAACAAAGATATATTTTTTGTAGGCCAAATATTGACTGTAAATACTATTGAGAATAAAACTTGTATTTGATGTAAATTCGATGTAAACTCGGCTAATGATTCTGAATACCAAATGCATTACATCACATCTGAGGCGCCCGCTCGGTAAAGCCGCTAGGGACTCGGACTAGCTGCGCCGCTGTAGTCTCTGCCAGGGAAGAGCGAGAATGACTTGGGAACGAATTAGTGAGGAATGTTCTCTGCCTGAACCTGAACACGCCCCAGTGGCCCTGCCGGCCCTGCCACCCCTAGACCTCTTCCTGCTCCACACGGTCACACGAGCCGCACAGCACCTCGGCCCCGGACAGCACCCGCCGCACCTCGGCGCGCTGCTGGCTGCAGGCGGCTGGCTCGTGGCTGTAGGCCCATCTCCGCAGCAGCACGAGCCTCCTGAGCGCCCGCAGCCCGCTCTGCTGCAGCAGCGAGTGCAGGTCGCCGCAGGTCCCTGGCCACCCATAACTCCCCGCCGTGCCCACCCCCAGCTCCAGCTCCTCCAGCGTGCCGCCGTGCGCCCGCAGCAGGGACTGTGTCGTGGCGCGGGGGAGGAGACACACCCTGAGCCACTGCAGGCCGGCGTGTCCCGGCGGCAGCGCGGGCAGCTCGGGGGGCTGGGCCATGGCCGTCAGCAGGGCGGCAGCATCATGACAATGCACGTACAGCCTCCTCAGCCGCGGCATGGCGTGCACCGCGCGCAGGTGAGCCTCGCGGGGGTAGAGCACACTCAGCCGCTCCAGCGTGGGCGCGGCGCGCTGCAGCAGCTGGAGACTCCAGGGGGGGTCCTCGCTGCACCACACCTGGACCAGCCGGGTCACCTGCGGCAGAACAGAGTCACTCTCAGGGCGGCCGGTAACGTGCGGCACTATGTCTGCAGTGTACCGGGCCGCTCCCCGCAACACCTTACGGGCCGTGAGGCTCGAGGTCCGGCGCACACTCACCCCCGGCGCGTCCCGCAACAAGGCGGCCTTCTCCTGCTGCTGGTCGTTGGGTTCACTTTGGCTGATACCAAACACATCCATCTCCCGCGGCTCGGCAGGTGGTGGGTCCCGGGTGGCAAGGGGAGCTTCAGGTGGTGTGGGTGCAGCTGCCGTTGGTGAGGGTGCAGCTGCAGGTGGTGAGGGTGCAGCTGCAGGTGGTGAGGGTGCAGCTGCAGGAGGTGTGGGTGCAGCTGTTGTCGGTGGGTCCCGCGCAGCAGCTCGGTCCTGCACAACCACACAAGTGTAGCACACGGGGGCACACAGCAGGTCTCACAACATTACATGCGGACGGTAGAGTTAGCTCTGCGCATTGACGCGTGGATTGCGTAAGGTTCAGATGCTTGCTAAAATTAGGAATTTGTTGCCGGAAAACGGAGATGTTTAACTTTGGAACACATTAATATATTGACTGTGGCAGCTGGACACACCTGCGACATAGGAGGTATTTTATCTGAGATAGTGACAGCATTAATATCTTACAACGATCACAACACTGCAACAGCAAGTGTTTCGCTAGAATAGCGCACCTCGAGTTGTTCCAGTAGAGCGTATCCGGTTGCTCGAGTGCGATCAAGGAGGGCGTTAAGGAGGGCAATATTTGTGAAAGCTTTCAAAAATGGCCTAAATTTGGGCTTTGAGAGGGTAAAAATTTGCAGATGCAGAACACCA